GCAGGGGCCAGGCAGGGCCTCTGACCACCAGGCTGGCTCCTGGTGGAGTGGGGCTCCTCTTCCCCACTGCTTTGGGAACTCAACCCTGGATTTGGTGCCTGCACCCTCTTTCCTGATCTCCCCCGAAACCTCATCAGAGAGGGGCAGTGACTTGTCCAGAATCATACAGTAGAGAACGAGGAAATGGGTGCAGCTGGGGGTGACCCCTCCAGACAGGTCACCCTCACAGGGGTAGGCCCAGGTGTCAGCCGGGCCAGGCCCAAGAGACTCCGATTGAGGCCCTTCTCAGCTCTGCAATAGGCCTCTCGGAATCCCAGAGCCCTCCTCCCCACCCCACTCACACTCACACTGGAGAGAGGAACTGAAGCCGAAGTCCCACCTTGGTCACTTTTTTTTGCCCCCACTGGACATAGCCAAGGGCTGAACAACGTCCAGATGCGCCCAGACCAAGCGCAGAGTGGGGCGGGTGGTCACAGTCAGACCTGAACAGGACGGGTTTCCTGCCTTGGGCGGGTGGGTCGTTTGACCTCTGTGAGCCTCAGGTTTTCTCACCTGTGTCTGAGCTGGGAACACTTCCTGCCTCAGAAGCAGGAGTCTGGTTGGTGCAGACATGCCCCAGGGCAGTGGGGCTAGGGCGGTTCCTCACAGAGGAAGCTGGTGTTTCTGTGAGCGAATACTCCCCACTCCCCAAACACGAGGGAGGCGTTGCAGTATCGCTGCCACCACATCCTGCCTGCTCAAGCAGCCGCGCCCACCCTGGCAGTCTCATTCCAGACTCGGGGGCAGGCAGGCTGGGGCAGGCACCAGCCCCTCTCCTCCCGCTTCCGCTCCCCAGTCGTTATGCCCTGGCCCTGGATGGGGACTCCAGGTGTCTGCGTGTCGCAGTGGAGGCAGCTGTGTGATTCAGCAGACCCTCCCAATGCCGCGTTCTTTCCCAGCGGTGTGGGTGTGCGTGGACCCAGCTGGTCATTAGAGGGCCCGGGCCTTCCTGTGGGGTGGTGCTTGCCCGTGCTTGCCCTGGCCCGTAAGTCCTGGCATCGCTAGGAGAGCTGTCTTCTGGGCTGGAGCTGCCCGTCCAGGGCGGGCAGTGGTGTCTGCTGGCCCCTTGGTGACCTGAGTGCTGTGAACGCTGAGGGTGGAGAAGCTGCACTCCTGGGCCCATTTCTTTTGGCACTGCCTGGGTGGGACCTTTTGCAGCTGGAGGGCAAGCCCCACACGGTGGCAAGGACCTGAGCCCAGTGGTGGAGGGACAGGATTTGTTGAAATCTGGGTTTGTTATTTTTGTTTTGTTTTGAGATGGAGTCTTGCTCTGTTACCCGGGCTGGAGTGCAGTGGCGCAGTGTTGGCTCAGTGCAACCTCTGCCTCCCAGGTTCAAGCAATTCTCCTGCCTCAAGCCCCCTGAAGAGCTGGGACTACAGGCACATGTCACCACACTCAGCTAATTTTAATTTTAAGTAGAAACAGGGTTTCGCCCTGTTAGCCAGGGCTGCGTTTGTTCTTACTCTACTCTGCTGCTCAATAGCAGGGTGACGTTGACAGGTGACGTCACCTCCCTGAGCCTCAGCACCCCCATCTGTGGAATGGGGCTAAAGAGTCCTGGTCTCTTGGGCATCAAAGGGACCCTGGGAGGGCCTGCAGGGAGGCCTGCCTGGTGCCTGGCACACTTCCAGGCCCTCAGCACCGGCTGTGGCCATTGTCACCCTGCTGAGTGTCCCATTCTACCTGCCTCACATAGAGTCTTGCTCTGACTTCCTCCTGCCCTCCCCATCCCAGCAAAGCCTAGAAAGATTAGGGATGGGGAGTGTTTGGCATTTGCAGAGAGGTGCTGTTCTTGAAGAGTTCCTTACTAGGCTGGGAACAGCTGCTCAACCCTGTAATCACAGCACTTTGGGAGGCCAAGGTAGATGGATTGGTTGAGGCCAGGAGTTCAAGACCAGTCTGGCCAACATGGTGAAACCCCGTCTCAACTAAAATTACAAAAACTAGCTGAATGTGGTGGCGGGTGCCTGTAATCCCAGCCGCTTGGGAGATGGAGACACGAGAATCGCTTGAACCCAGGAGGCAGAGGTTGCAGTGAGCCAAGATCATGCCACTGCACTTCAGCCTCGGTGACAGAATGAGATTGTCTCAAAAAGGAAAAAAAGACTTTGTTTCTCTTCTGATTATTAATATGATCAGTAATCAAAGAAAGGTGGCCCATTATCTGGGCACCGCTGTTTCTCTCCTAAAAGAAACAGACACATTTGACATAGGCATTTAAAATTTGGTTTAGAAATCTAGGTACTAGGTTACAGTGTAAAGTAAAAATAGACTATAAAGTAAAAGCACAATTTGGCCGGGCAAGGTGACTCATGCCTGTAATTCCAGGACTTTGGGAGGCCGAGGCGGGTGGATCACGAGGTCAAGAGTTCAAGACCAGCCTGGCCAATGTGGTGAAATTCTGTTAAAACTAAAAATACAAAAATTAGCTGGGCGTGGTAGTGTGTGCCTATAGTCCCAGCTACTTGGGAGGCTGAGGCAGGAGAACCCAGGAGGTGGAGGCTGCAGTAAGCCAAGATTGCACCACTGCATTCCAGCCTGAGTGACAGTGAGACTGTCTATAAATAAATAAATAAAAGTATAACTTATTTTAATAAATATAGAAACAGCAGGGTGCAGTGACTCACTCCTGTAATCCCAGCACTTTGAGACGCCAAGGTGAGGGGATTGCTTGAGGCCAGGAGTTCAAGACGAACTTGTTCAACATAGTGAGATCCTATCTCTACAAAAAATTTTAAAAATTAGCCAGGCATGGTGGCACACACCTGTAGTCCAGCTGGTGGCACACTCCCCCAGTTACCTGGGGGAGGCTGAGGTAGGAGGATTGCTTGACCAGGAGGTCGAGGCTGCAGTAAGCCATGATCACGCCACCACACTCTAGTTTGGGCAACAGAACAAGATCTGGTCTCTTAAAATAAAAATTTTTTAATTCTAAAAGAATATACAGAAAGGACTGGAAGGTTGTTATTCAGTGAAAAGCTAACAGTGTGTAACCCTGGCAGTGACTGTACACAGGATTCTTTTTTTTTGTTTGTTTTGCCATTTTGCTTTTTTACAATCTTTCATATGTTTTCCAGGGAACATCTAGTAACTTTTTTCTCCTTGATGGCCTTACAGAACATTGTAAGGAGAACCTGCCTTGGCCACCTGATCATGAATGGCCATGGAGAGGTGTTCTCATGGAGATCTTGTTGTGTGCCTCCTGTGTGGCACAGGCTGGGTTTCCTAATGTGGCTTCGCAGCTACTGTTTCCTAAGCTTGGCCATCATTAGAGTCACCAAAGTTATGTGTTAAAAATCAGGTTCCCTGCTGGGCACGGTGGCTCACGCCTGTACTCTCAGCACTTTCAGAGGCTGAAGCAGGCGGGCCATGAGGTCAAAAGATCAAGACCAGCCTGGCCAATATGGTGAAACCCCATCTCTACTAAAAAATACAAAAATTAGCTGGGCATGGTGGTGTGCGCCTGTAGTCCCAGCTACTCGGGTGACTGAGGCAAGAGAATCACTTGAACCTAGGAAGCGGAGGTTGCAATAAGCCTGGATCGCAGCACTGCACTCCAGACTGGCAACAGAGTGAGACTTCATCTCAAAAAAATAAAAAAATCAGCTTCCCAGCTTCTCTCCGTAGTAGTCAAACTGTACTCTTTCAGGGAGAACCTTCTGTTGCTGCTGTTTTTCATTCCTTTATACACATGTAACCAGAGATGATTTTACATTAAGACCTCTCTGTGATCACCCAGTTCATGGGGGAGGAAAGCCTTATCCTTAATCCCCTCTCTTGAGGCCGCTCCCCCAAGAGCCTGTCATTAAGACCCATTGTGTGACCTTTGATCTTCTGTGTGTTTCTGGAATCCTGTACACGCATAACTATACACGCGTGGTGGAATGCTTCTGTTGTTGTTGAGGCAGGGTCTCTGTCACCTAGGCTGGAGTACGGTGATGGGATCACAGCTCACTGTAGCTTCGACCTCCTGGACTCAAGCGATCCTCCCACCCCATCCACCCAAAGTGCTGGGATTACAGGCACGCACCACCATGCCCAGCTAATTTTTTTTGTATTTTTAGTAGAGACGGGGTTTCACCATGTTGACCAGGATGGTCTCAATCTCTTGACCTCGTGATCCACCCGCCTCAGCCTTCCAAAGTGCTGGAATTACAGGCTTGAGCCACTGCGCCCGGCCTCATGTGGAACTTTTAAACCTTGCTCTTTGGCTTATGGGAGTGAGTTCACCTTGCAGCCCCTCTGCATGTTGCTCTTTCCTCGTGCTTTGCGAGAATCCCTCCAGCTCATAGTTGCAGCTTCACAGCGGCTGGTTCCCAGTGAACTGGGAGGTTTGTTTTGTTTTTTTGAGATGGAGTTTCACCCTTTTTGGCCAGGTTAGAGTATAATGGCATGATCTCGGCTCACCGCAATTTCCACCTCCCGGGTTCAAGCGATTCTCCTGCGTCAGCCTCCTGAGTAGCTGGGATTACAGGCATGCACCACATTTTGTATTTTTAGTAGAAATGGGGTTTCTCCATGTTGGTCAGGCTGGTTTCAAACTCCCAACCTCAGGTGATCCACCCGCCTTGGCCTCCCAAAGTGCTGGGATTATAGGTGTAAGCCACTGGGCCTCTAGAGAGGCATTCCCTAATGCTCTTACTGGAATGCAAGGGGGTGGGGCAGAGAACCCTGAGGCTCCACTAGGGATCTGTCTCATCTCACTGTGTTCAGTCTTTCTGTGTGTTAAATGAGGAGCCTGCACACCTCCCCAGGGTGGTTTCCCAGCCAAGTGGCCACATGCTTTCTGCAGAAGGGCTAAGTGGGCTTCCCCATGGAGTGGGCAGGCTTTGGCTAGCAGCTAGATTTGAGGTGGAATTTTGGACAATGGTAGAATTTTCTTTGTCTTCTTCCCCTGACCCCTGCATCCTAGGAAAGCCAGGCCACCCTGTGCTAAACTTCTCCTGTGGGTCCCTTTTAGGTTAAACCATGATTCCGGTGACGGAGCTCCGCTACTTTGCGGACACGCAACCAGCATACCGGATCCTGAAGCCGTGGTGGGATGTGTTCACAGACTACATCTCTATTGTCATGCTGATGATCGCCGTCTTCGGGGGGACGCTGCAGGTCACCCAAGACAAGATGATCTGCCTGCCTTGTAAGTGGGTCACCAAGGACTCCTGCAATGACTCGTTCCGGGGCTGGGCAGCCCCTGGCCCGGAGCCCACCTACCCGAACTCCACCATTCTACCGACCCCTGACACAGGCCCCACAGGCATCAAGTATGACCTGGACCGGCACCAGTACAACTATGTGGACGCCGTGTGCTACGAGAACCGGCTGCACTGGTTCGCCAAGTACTTCCCCTACCTGGTACTCCTGCACACGCTCATCTTCCTGGCCTGCAGCAACTTCTGGTTCAAATTCCCGCGCACCAGCTCGAAGCTGGAGCACTTTGTGTCTATCCTGCTGAAGTGCTTCGACTCGCCCTGGACCACAAGGGCTCTGTCGGAGACGGTGGTGGAGGAGAGCGACCCCAAGCCGGCCTTCAGCAAGATGAATGGCTCCATGGACAAGAAGTCCTCGACCGTCAGTGAGGATGTGGAGGCCACCGTGCCCATGCTGCAGCGGACCAAGTCACGGATCGAGCAGGGCATCGTGGACCGCTCGGAGACGGGCGTGCTGGACAAGAAGGAGGGGGAGCAGGCCAAGGCGCTGTTTGAGAAGGTGAAGAAGTTCCGGACCCACGTGGAGGAGGGGGACATTGTGTACCGCCTCTACATGCGGCAGACCATCATCAAGGTGATCAAATTCATCCTCATCATCTGCTACACAGTCTACTACGTGCACAACATCAAGTTCGACGTGGACTGCACCGTGGACATTGAGAGCCTGACAGGCTACCGTACCTACCGCTGTGCCCACCCCCTGGCCACGCTCTTCAAGATCCTGGCATCCTTCTACATCAGCCTGGTCATCTTCTATACGCTGTGGTGGATGCTGCGGCGCTCCCTCAAGAAGTACTCGTTTGAGTCGATCCGAGAGGAGAGCAGCTACAGCGACATCCCCGACGTCAAGAACGACTTCGCCTTCATGCTGCACCTCATCGACCAGTACGACCCGCTGTACTCCAAGCGCTTCGCCGTCTTCTTGTCGGAGGTGAGTGAGAACAAGCTGCGGCAGCTGAACCTCAACAACGAGTGGACGCTGGACAAGCTCCGGCAGCGGCTCACCAAGAACGCACAGGACAAGCTGGAGCTGCACCTGTTCATGCTCAGTGGCATCCCCGACACCGTGTTTGACCTGGTGGAGCTGGAGGTCCTGAAGCTGGAGCTGATCCCCGACGTGACCATCCCGCCCAGCATCGCCCAGCTCACAGGCCTCAAGGAGCTGTGGCTCTATCACACAGCGGCCAAGATTGAGGCACCCGCACTAGCCTTCCTGCGCGAGAACCTGCGGGCGCTGCACATCAAGTTCACGGACATCAAGGAGATCCCGCTGTGGATCTACAGCCTGAAGACGCTGGAGGAGCTGCACCTGACGGGCAACCTGAGCGCGGAGAACAACCGCTACATCGTCATCGACGGGCTGCGGGAGCTCAAACGCCTCAAGGTCCTGCGGCTCAAGAGCAACCTGAGCAAGCTGCCGCAGGTGGTCACAGATGTGGGCGTGCACCTGCAGAAGCTGTCCATCAACAATGAGGGCACCAAGCTCATCGTCCTCAACAGCCTCAAGAAGATGGCGAACCTGACTGAGCTGGAGCTGATCCGCTGCGACCTGGAGCGCATCCCACACTCCATCTTCAGCCTTCACAACCTGCAGGAGATCGACCTCAAGGACAACAACCTCAAGACCATTGAGGAGATCATCAGCTTCCAGCACCTGCACCGCCTCACCTGCCTTAAGCTGTGGTATAACCACATCGCCTACATCCCCATCCAGATCGGCAACCTCACCAACCTGGAGCGCCTCTACCTGAACCGCAACAAGATCGAGAAAATCCCCACCCAGCTCTTCTACTGCCGCAAGCTGCGCTACCTGGACCTCAGCCACAACAACCTGACCTTCCTCCCCGCCGACATTGGCCTCCTGCAGAACCTCCAGAACCTGGCCATCACGGCCAACCGGGTGAGTGGCCCAGCCACGGCTTGGCATGTGGGCTGGTGGGCGGCCTGGCCGGGGCCTGTGGTGGGATGCTCGGCAGGCCCAGTGTCCTGGGACCGATGCCCCTGAGTGTGGAGTCCTCACCGGGGTTTACGGAACCACCGAGGAGGGAAGCTCTGTTCAAGAGACAGACTCCTGGGGCCCCGTGCCCGGCCTGCCGAATTCCAGTCTCTGGGCCCAGGGGCCTGTCTTTGCTCCAGAATGCTGCAGTTCTCCTGCCTGGAGAGACTGTATGGCCAGGCAGGACCTGTCCCCCTTGAGCCCACTTCCTCTTTAGCAGGGATGCGTGTGGGCAGGAGGTCCGAGGCCGGGGGTTCTCTCGCAAAGCCGGGTGGTAGGAGTCAAGACTTGTCCTGGAGCTTGTGTGTTCCTCAGCTTGTTCTCAGTCGGATTTGGAGGCCAGGGGCCAGTCCGGGTCTACCTGAGACAGAAACTGTGGGTGTGGCCAGTGCTGGTTGAGGGGAAACCAGATGGTCCCTGCGGCTCCCAGCATCTCTCACACATCTTTCTCTACTCTATTTGGCGGTGTCAAAGGCAGAGTTGGGCTTGGTTGGGGCTAGCTTGTCACTGTCTACCTTTCTGGAAAGGAAATTGTGCAAATCATTGTAACTGGGAGTTTGGGAGGCCACATCCTTGACATACTTTCAAGATGTTGGTGGCCTGTGGGTGCCAGTCCCTTCCTGGCTGGGAAAGCCCCCATCCAAGGGCCCCTTGGTGGAGGCAGTGTGGATGGAGGGCTGGGTACTCCTGTGGCTCTGTGGTCTGGCCTCCAAAGTAGAAACAGAGCTGCTGCCATTGCAGGGATCCTCCCTCATCCACCCCTCCTGGGGACCTGCAGGTCCTCCTGGGCCTCACATTCAAGAGGTTCCTGCAGTGAGGCAGGTGGTAGAGGAAGCCTGAGGCCAGGGCCTGGGAGACAGAAGAGCCAAAACAGCCACCACTGCTGCCCCTGACACAGCAGCAGCTGTCATGCCAGGCCCCTAACAACTTCACTAGGGATGACACCAGTTTCAAGAGGCTAAAGAAGAGACCTGGAGTTAACCAGGCACAGTGGGTCACACCTGTAATCTGAGCACTTAGAGAAGCCAAGGTGCGACGATGACTTGAGCTCAGGAGTTCGAGACCAGCCTGGGCAGCATAGGGAAACCTCATCTCTATCAAAAATATAGAAATTATCCAGGCATGGTGGCATGTGCCTGTAGTCCCAGCTACTTGGGAGGCTGAGGCAGGATTGTTTCAGCCTAGGCGTTCGAGACTGCAGTGAGTTATGATTTTACCACTGTACTCCAGCCTGGGCAATAGAGTGAGACCCAGTCTCTCTCTTTTTTTTTAACCTTGAGACAGAGTCTCACACTGTTGCCTGAGCTAGAGTGCAATGACATGATCTCGGCTCAGTGCAACCTCTGCCTCCCAGGTTCAAGCGATTCTCCTGCCTCAGCCTCCCAAGTAGCTAGGATTACAGGCACCCACCACCATGACCGGCTAATTTTTTGCATTTTCAGTAGAGATAGAGTTTCACCATGTTGGCCAGGCTGGTCTCGAACTCCTGGCCTCATGATCCGCCTGCCTCAGCCTCCTATAGTGCTGGGATTACAGGCATGGGTCATGCCCAGCTGAGACCCAGTCTCAAAATAAAAAAAAGAAGAACCCTGGAACCAGCAAATGAAACGTGGGGTGTATTTGGGGAACTTACCAGTTAGCACAGAGCATAGGAGCTCTGCTGGAGCACCAGGTCCCTGGGAACACAGAGAAACAGGCCCCTGAAGGACGAGGAGGAAGAAGCCAGGTGGAGGGGAAAGGGAGAGTCCAGGAGGTTCTGGTGGGCCAGCAGCAGTGAGCCAAAGAGCAAAACAGCTCCTGCTCATATAGAGCATGCAGTTTCTAGAGCATTTTCACTTAGGCCCCTCCCCTCTGCAGCCTCCGTGTGGCAACCCACATTTCTTAGTAGGCTTGTTGCTGTTGGGTGCATCTGCCATGCAGCGCAAGGCGAAGTCCCTGTTGGTTTAGTGAGCACCTGCTCTGTGTTCACCCTGTGCCGGCATGACATGCCTGTCCTCTTCCCACCAACCCACTGAGTCCTCCCAACAGAATCTGTCTCTACATCCCTGGGCAGGGAGGGAGGTGGCTCCTGGAATGCCCTGTCTGTCCTCCCCAGCCCCAGGACAGGACACACCTTCTCCAGCATTACTCAGACTGGAGGCTTCGGGCCCTCCAGATGCCTGCTGGCCTGGCAGCTTCCCTCCCCTCCTCCCCAGGGCTCTCTTACTACACAGCGGCCTGCAACTCACATGTATCAGGAATGTTGACAAGTCCATCTCCTGCCACCGCATATGATGACTTGAGCACAGCGGGAGAGTGTACCAGGGCAGGGTTTTCTCTTGCAGTTCTGGGGCAGGCCCACTGAATAGGAAAATTAGAGTCCCCTGGGGAGAAGCCACATGTGGGAAGCATAGAACAAACCCAGCCCTTCTTTATGGAGAGGGACCCCGTGGCTTCCCCATGGCATAGTGTTGCCCTTGATGAGCTCGGGCTTTCCCCACAGCTCCTGTTGCGCCTGCTCTGTCCCGGGCGCTGTGTGCTAGGGCTGTCCTGGCTGCAGGAGGGTGCAAGACTCCAGCCTGGCTCCGCATCCTGTCCCTCGTCCCCTGCTCATCCCACTAGCCTTGGCTGTTAGTGTCATGCCTGTTGGCTGAGGTCACCCCTCAGGAAAGGAGCTGGCGGCAGGCATGCTGTCCCAGAGGAAGGAGACCCTCTGGACACCCTGTTTAGCACACAGCTTAATCACATCCTGTCCCCGCCCCCTGGAACTCCAGAGCCTTAATAGGGAAAATAGTTTCCTTGGGCCAGTCCCAGGCAGGACCCTTTTTTTTTTTGAGACGGAGTTTCACTCATGTTACCCAGGCTGGAGTGCAATGGTGCAATCTCGGCTCACC